TCAGATGTGAATTTAAAGGAAAAGTAAATTATCACATAAAATCTGTTTTTCTCCTGAAGGTTAAGTTTTATCTAGTTAATCAGGGGAATACAATCTTAAAGTACATCCGGGTGAGACGAAAATGTAGTAACCCCATGTACCTTACGCCCATGCAAAATACTTGATTTTCAATTAAAGTTATCATTTTGAAATTTTGTTACAATTTACGACTACACATTTGTACCTTTGTTGATTAATTCTATGTAATAAAACATTAAAAGGTACATCTTTACGTGAACTTAGGCATGTCTTGTTTAGTTAAGTCTATCACTGCGCAATATACGGAATGCTTCAAATATGGATACGCCATCTCTCTGTCTCTTTACATTTTGTGTGTACCTTTTTCCGCATGAAGATCAACTATATAACAAAATTTTAGCGCGAAAGATGTACATTCTAAAAATGTGCGCACGTTCAATGCTTCTACAACCCTATAAATTACGAAATGACTAGAAGCATTCTATTCTTATAGTTACATTATGATGCTACAACCATAAAATTACGAATTAAATCAAGACTTTCGTTTGTTTCTCTATGCCTTTTTAAAAACATTGTCACGGGGAGAACCTCCAGTCATAGATGTTCATTCAAAATTTCTGAATCTTCTGAAACTTTTTTGTTATGAAATTATTCCAAAATAAACAAAATTAATTTAACGTTATATCTTGGAGTGAAAAAAAACAGGATTCCTTAATATCTGAAAGTCCGATACGGCCATACTTAAACATTTTGAAAAAGATATTTAAAAAAATGGTCAAAAACACAATCAAATGAGCAAACTTCCTTTGACAAATATAAATCTAATATTACAAGGATATTTTACCGACAATTTCCCGAAGTAGATTTTGATACCTCAGATTCCGAAGAAGAAACAGAAACAATTCTTATATCTGTTTCCGTTCAGCAAAACAAATGTACATCAATTTTATTGAGTGTGATATTACGAAAACTCATATATAAAGAAGAATTACGCATTTTTTGTCTAACAACTTGACGGAAACTCAAGTGGCGGTTGAAAAAACAATGACCCAAAATTTGAAAATATTCGCATTTAGTTGCAGAACAGAATTAGGTTGAATATTATTCAGCAAGGCTGAGATGGAAAATTTGTAATGTGGTTCAATTCAAATTTAAATGTCATTTATATGAATGAAAACAAAAACGACTGCAAATTTCATGGTTATCACGATTAGAATATATGTAGCAGCGTGTTCCTCCCTAGTACAGAAGCTTACTGGCTTTGCTACATGGTTAGAAGAAACCAAAGACTGAAGACACGGAGCAGTTAAGAAAACAACTAAGACTGATTGGTTGATAGAAAAATGTGTCGTCCGAACGGGGTATGCATTTACCACATTGCAAAAACGACTCAGCAAGTAGATCTACTACAAAGCAGGGTTCATGACCATGTAATGGTAATATTTGCTCGTCTTGAATATGGATAAAAAATTAACGTAAAAGAGTCATTCATTTTCCATTTAATCATTGTATAGCAACTTAATCAATAAAAGCATCACTAATCATACCAAATCTGACTTTTTTTTTGTCACTTTTAAGATTTAGATTTTTCTTTTTTCTTGACTAAGGTTATTGTTCGGTGTTGGAATTTTGTGTTATAGTTTATAGTAACATTAACGGCACCAATTTTACTGCCTTATGTGCGCATTTCGACAATAAATGTCTCTTCATTGATGCTCAAGGCCAAAATATTTGAAAACCCAATACTAATTCAAAAATTGAAGACCTGATAACACTAAAAAGAACTAAAAGTATGGAGATTGACTTTTATTATGCCTTCCTGTCTTAACAAATCATGTGACGATGATAGTCTAATTTAATTTCATTCATAACTTGTCTAGATTCCTAGCTTGAAATATGGTTTGGACACTTGTCTATGATCGAAGATCGTATTTTGGCCTCAACATTTCTTTTTAGTTAAATTGTATCGGTTGCTTCCAATCTTATTATATTTACCCAACATATCTTTTTATTCAATATCTTTCGAAATATTGATTTGAATTCTGGTGGTTTCTGATTAAGAATTTAGTAGTTTGTAGCAAATATTTTGTATTAATATACTAAACCGTATTAACCACTAACAAAATAAAAAATAGTATTACTGCATAATTTTCTATCTATTAATAAAAAAACAGTTTTTCAACTAACAAAATCCATACCGTGTAGTAAGCCATAAAGGGTTCCGGCGTGACAAAATGTAATACCATTTAAAAGAGAAAACTGACGGCCTGATTAATGCTACAACAATAAGCGAAAACAATTTTGGCAGACAGCAACTAACAACACTGGACTACAGTCTCTAGACTTGTGACAGGCCCACATAGAATTGATTCCCATTGCTTGGACAGAGATGCAACAGCACAACACAAGAACAAACTGCACAAATCAGCTGGAAAGGTCTTAACTGATCTGATCGACAATAATCACAAAACAAAAAACAGAAAGACAGAGGTCACACAGTTCTAGTCTAAAAATACGCTTAGTCACCAAAGGCCAGTTCATAGCTCCATTTCAACTAATAAATAAAATCCAGTTTTCCCAGATTAAAATATCACACCTCCGACGGATTTAGTTTGAAGAGGTCATACGCATTCTGAGAAAACTTGACCTTGTGCAATGCCAAAATATAAATATATGTCCAGTTGAACTTGAAATAAATGATACAACAGATGCAGTTGAGTCTGTTTCATATCTTGACTTATTCTAGAAATTAACACTAAGGGTAGGTTGAAAACAAAACTTTACGACAAAAGAGATGATTTCAGCTTCCAAATTGTGAACTTTTCATTTCTATGTAGCAACATTTCAATATGTGCCTTTGGTTTTGGTGGAGTTCGTGTTGCTCAGGCTTTGTGTTTAGTATAACTATTGTTTGTCTTTTGGTCGTTTTTCGGTTTTTGCCATGGCGTTGTCAGTTTTGTTTTCGACTGATGAGTGTGAATGACCCTTTGGTATCCTTTGCATTAATTGATATCTTTAACATCAATACTGATCGAGCTATACACTGTCATAGCGATTGAGTTGGAAAAATAAACATACAAGGAAAATCACCGTCCAAAAAGGAAAATTAATACTGTGGATTCATTTATTTTCGTGGGTACCAATTTTCGTGGATTGAGGAAAACTTGCATTTTCGTGGATATTTGATTTCGTGGTTTTCCAAAATTCTCCATTTAATCATACAGCAAATTTGCAATTCGTTGAACATTTAAATTCGTGGTTTCCATGTACCCACGAATTCCACGAAAATTGATATCCAACGAAAAATAATGAATCCACAGTATTCGGGAACGAAAAATTGTCTCATTTGTTGTGAATTTTGGTTTCCCTTGAAAAACTGTAATATTTAAATCGAGACAAATGACACTTATTACTGTTGATATTAGATTTATTTAAAGTTAATTCCTTTAGGTACATTTGCCCATTATAATAAGAGAATTCTTGATTATCTAAAGAAAATAAATCATGAGGTAACACCAAGTGTTATTAAATTTTTCAATTACTAATAACTGTAATTACGACAATTTTTTACTGTGCTTAGCCATGAACTGAGATTTTAAACAGCATAGGAACAAGTCTGCAGAAAGTTAATAACCTCGGGGTCTTGATAATTTTATGCCAAGATCATATTTGATTTTGATGTTTCATTGTTCCAGGTCTAAGTTGAATTATTTTTTATACTGACGTCTGGTGTGACTGAAGTACACTTAAGGTAATTACTACTACTGGAAGTGTTTAACGACCTTGACTGGCTGTTCAGCCCTCGCACGGTCGGTATTAAGGTAACTTGAGTGTCTTCCACCATCTTGAATTGGAAAATAGCAGAGCTTATTAGGTCTAGATTTTCAATGAAGTTAACAAATTTAGATGCAAGAATGCAATCTACTACAATTAAAGAATTGTCATTTAATAAAAACTATTAAATAAATGTGATTTTATATTAAAATTACTTATGTGTTTACAGCGGTACAAAACTTAATTTCATATTTTTTCAACATAGCGTATATAAAAGGAGGTAAATATGAAAGAGTACAATTTATATAGGAATCTACAAGTAATTTTTCCATTTTATGTTATAGCCGGCAAAAAAGTACGGTGTCCCCAATTTTTCATTTGATATTCTGAAAGCACTTTATTAGAGCTATCTTTTCATATTATTTAAAATTTCTATCTATGTGTTTACCTACTATTCACATAACGATGCTTTTCTCTGTATAATCCATACAAAATGTGTCATTTTTTCACAACCTTTAGCTTGAAAAAAACCTCGGTGACCTACAATGTATCATTTTTATTATATTTAAAATAATATCATATATATACTACACTTTGGCAAAGTGTAAAACAATTCTATAATTTATAGTGTATACTCTCATACCACCTTAAACTTCTCTTGTTGTTTATTTTGTATACGCATAACAAATAATAGGTGGTTGCAATTGTATGTTATCGAACTAGGGAGGTATAAAATTTTGAACGATGGACTCATAAAATATATAAGGTAAGTTCGTTTAAAACGGTTGTTACGTTTACCTTTTTTTTTTATCAACAATATTCACGATACCAATAAAAGAAGTTAAAGATTTTTGTGCCTCTGTCCTATGATATTGTCATTTAGACCAGTAGATATGCTGTCTGTAGTCGTTTTATTCTAGATAGCTGTTTGTACCAGAGTTTATGTTTTAAATATAAAATCGATTTCTCTTCAGCTTCCTGTTTACTGAATACTTTAAGGCGGAGGTATCATTAGTGAACAAACGCTAACAGTTCTATTTGTTTGTTCAATGAACAACTTTTTAAACAGGTCATAAAATTAATTTTTCTTGCCTGACTTCCGAAAATTTTTTGCGAACCAACTCTTTACGGTATCTTAGGCTAATGGAGCGGATAAATTGATGAAATGCGCATGGCAGACGCAACCGTTAAATATAAATTCATTTAACGTCTGTTGTCAACTACACTGTAACTTTTTTGTAAATCTTGAAAACCGACTGGCAAGAAACCTCCAGGTACTGTATTTTATTTAAAAACATTCTTCTTAAATGAGCATTAATGTTCCTTTGATTGCATAAATCAATTAGTGTTAAATTTGTAAAATCTGAAATATTAAGAGATATAATTATATTCATTTTTTAATTCTAATCAGTAAATATTATTTTAATAACTTAGTCTAGCTTAGGAAAAAAACGATTTGTTAATGTTTATGCATACGTACTTAAGTTGCGAAAACAATGGACATTGGGATTTGTATATTGTCCTCGTTAAAAAGACTATTTTATGAATTTTGTTCATTAATCATCTTGGTATGTTCATTTTTTTTACGCTTGTCCCTTTTTGTGATTATTATTCATTGCAGAATCATTAAATCAAAAAAAAAAAAAACAGAAACATAGAACGAGTAAACACTTTATAGTTGTTTGTTTAGGATGCTATGGAACTTCATATACATTTGGCTGGTCTACATGTATGTTGTCGCAGCGACACATCCGGGTCCCCAAAATAATAAAGGTAATATCATTATACTCTTAAGAACCTGAAACACCGGAAAATAATATGAATTAATAAATCACCTTTAAACTTGTAATCGTTTTCTGAAAATATGTGCCACTTAACTAACAGCTTATGAAAAACCTACTTTGTAAAAGTATTTAACTAGATGCGACAATCTAGTTCAAAATTTAGTCTCAAATCATGCGCATTAATGCATTTTGTGATGATGTCACTGAATTAACACTTTGTGCATGAAGGGAATTTATGATAAAAAGATTATTATATTATTTTGTGTTTTATTGCCGACCTCATACCAGATCCTTGGGTTTTTTTTAGAACGCATCTGGAATAATATGGAAAATAATTTGTAACAATATATCTTTACCAGAGTGTTTGATTGGAAACATCGTACAGTAAAACTCATGGCAAATAAGGTGTCCGTTTGGCTTTGTCGGATGTATAAATACGCAGCAAGTTGCAACGTCCGGTCGGAATTGGGGAAATCTAAACCTATCCGATACCTTGCGCATGGAATCGATGGACGAGTATCACGCTCTCTGAAACCCTTGTAATAACTCTACAAAGGGCCCAAAGGTGGTCTAAATCTGTTGCAAGGCAAAGCTTCGGCATTAACAAAAAAAAAATCTTTCATTTTTCATTGCCAGTCGTCCAACTCTACAGGGCCTGCCAAATTGATTTATTGTGATGTTATTCCCGACACAATCAATTACTTGTATCAAGCATTGTGAACATTATTTTCTTTCGGAATTATTTATGTAGTAGTGCTTTAATTTTACAATAATTATTACACACAAACAATTCTCAAAAGCTTGCATACACAGATCACGCTATTCACATCAAAGAACCATGTAAACAACTCTTCGAGGTTCCTAGATGGCCTGTTGTAAAATGTCTGCCTCTATGCTCAATACCATCATTTTCGAGAGGAAGTCGAAATTTTTGCCTTACATCCCTGTCGACCCACTTTACAGAAACTACATACAAGTATTGTATTGACTTTTAATTTGTTCAATTCTTGAATATGCACGACATATTTGGCATTGAATATTAAGCAAGCAACAATCGATCATATGCAAAAAAAGTGTCATGAAATGAAAATCTTGACTAACAATACAATCCCGATACACGGGAACAATAAATTATCGTTTTTGGTATCAATCCCTGCAAAAGGTTGTCAAAGAAGTCTGAAACTTTTATGATAAACATCATCTTGTTTTGTGATAGTTTCATAACGTTATAAAATGTTTGAATATTTATAACGAGTTTTTATCGAAAACATTACTTTCTAAATAGGACGGTTAATTTTCTTAAATATCCACTTACTCATGCAGGCGTCTCTAACTATCCAGTGGATAATGTGTAATCATAGCCACGTCTCCTTAAGCTTCTACATGCTTCTTATTTGTAGAAGCTTTATTTCAATGTGTTTTACGTTTAAAAGGGATGAAAAAACGGCGGATCCAGGAACGGATATCCGCTAGTGGTTTAAACACTGAGCAGGTCGATACCACTAAATTACATTTGTACACTAAATTTCTGCCTGAAAATGCAATCATTATTGTGAACTACAAAGCATTGTGGGCTCTTATTGTGAATTCATTATGATTCCTGGAATACCATTTTCGTGAATTTCTTAAGGATGAGTAAACCCTGAATTCATGTGGTCAACGAAGTAGTAATTTCATACAGGATTGTGTGCTGCGAACTTAAGCTAAACTATGAAATCAAGTATCATCGAAAATACAATCGTTCTTCGATCCACTAAAACAATGGAATCCACAGTATATGTTTACTATCTGAACATGGCATGTGAATTATGATAAGATTGACCTAACGAATCTGCTCCCGGAATCTGAAATTGAATATTTTTGTCAATTTAATATGTGAAATACAAAATGTTTAACACAATTTAACAATCTATGCTCAAGTTAAAAAAATATTGTCATCGGATCTCAGACCGTACATTTTTATGTAGCGTACAAACTAAAACAAGTTTGTTGTATACTTTTAAATATTTAAACTGTTTTCTTACTTAGCTTTTCAAGTGAAATTGCTGAATCAATTTGCCTCACCCGTCCGAATTTTCTTCGACTATCATTTCTCTGTCTCTAGTCTGATTACAATAAATTCATATTGTCATTTGAATTTAAAATATGGTTTTATATCCTTTATTATAGCTTGCCTCGCATCATAACTAAATTTCATCCTGTCTTTAGTAAAAAACAAAGTATCGTTCCGGTTCAAACCCCTTCACGATTCAAAAGCTTGAATATTTCGAAACTTAGGGTTTCTTATTTCCGTCATTGTTAGGGTTTCGACTGTAAGTCAACTGATATATACAAACTTACACGAGAGAAACAAATAGTGCAAAGAAAACGAATAAAAATAAATGTGAAATATACGTAAAATGAAACAGACAACCTAGACTGTTTCGTCATTTGAAATTTTAAAAAATCAAATTAAGAAAATATCATAGTTTAAACGCGGAAACAAATTATGACGTTTTGACTTTTTTCTTATCCCATAAATATATGAATATATTCCAAAAGTTTTGTGTATTCTCCCCTTATATAACTCCTTTAATTTCAACGTCAAGCTGTCATTCGATCTTCTCGTGACTCCATTATATTTTTTTCATGATAAAGCAACATTTTGTAAATCTGAACATAGAAAGTTAGTTTATATTACGTTTTATGCATCTATTTGGTTAAAATGCAAAATACTATAAAATATTTTTCCGAAACTTGTTATGATATGGTATTCTGAAACCAAGAGCACACGTGTTTTTACTATCAGTAGTCCTTGGGGTTTTCATACTAATCAACTCGATTAGTCAATCAGTGAATTTATGTGTGATGTTTACAAACAAATAACTTTTTCAGCGGTACGATTTTTTTTGTGTGTAAATATATGCATGTTCATAAAATCAATGTTATTGAAGAGTTAAGGATAACGGTAAAAGTGAAATATTTTGACAGGGAAAGCTTCTCCTGCTATGCACACATCATGACGTCATGCGAATTCACACTCGGTCATAATGTAATAATCGGGAATAGGACACAATCTGTAAAACTACTGAGACGACTATATTCGTATCTAAAGATCTTAAAAATAGTCGCTATTGAGTTGAGACACCGACACATTATATCGGACATGATATAGCGAAATGAGGTACGGAACAAACATATAAACACTAATCAAAGATACTAGGCTTGTAATTTGGTACGTCAGACATGCGTTTTGTTTACAGGACACTCATAAAAAAAATGGCACTCGAATCACAACAGTTGGATGGCCAAATCAAATACAAAGTTCAAAGCATTAAATATACGGCTGAGACAATTTATGCCTTGGGTAGATATACTTTAGTGCTTCGAATAATTAAACATTTAATAAACAGTAAATTTACAGAAGCGGAAAATAAAAATAATATTTCATGTCAACACTAATTAAAGTGCTGACTACTGGGCTGGTGATAACCTCGGATACGAAACGTCCATCAGCACTGGCATCTACCCAATGGTTGTAAACATTCATCAAAGATAACAGGCATAAAGTTTGGCCAGCCAGACGCGCGTTTCGTTTACATAAGACTCACCAATGGCACTCGAAAACAACAGTTGGAAGGCCAAATCAAATACGAAGTTGGGCATTCAAATTGAAAAATCCTTAAATCTTGTGGTGCCAAATATGGCTTAGGCAATCTATACCTAGGATAGAAACCTTAGTGTCATGAATAACTCAACATTTTATAAACAATAAATTTACAGAAATTGAACATAACAATGATATTTCATGTCAACACAAAAGTACTGACTACTGGGCTTGTGATATTCTCGGTGACGAAACGTCCACCAGCAGTGACATCGTCCCAGTGGTTGTAAACACTCATTAAAGATAACAGGCTTAAAATTTGTTACGCCAGATGCGCGTTTCGTCTTTCAGTGGCATTCAAATTAATTCAGTTGGAAGGCCAAATCAAATACGAAGTTGAAAAGCATTTAAAACTGTAAATTGCGAAGTTGTGCAAAATACAGCTAAGGCAATCCAGAGGAAGAAAACCTTAGGGTTTCGAATAATGCAAGATTTTACAAACATCCAATTTACAGAACATGAACATATTAATGATATTTCGTTTTAACACACAAGGCAACTATGCTGATGATACCTTGGGGGACGAAACTTCCATCAGCAGTGGCATCGACCTATGTAAACGCGTTTTACCCGGCGCCAGCTGATGGAGCTTGCCAATTTAATCCCAGTTGTGCACATGAATGTGACGTAAACAAAACACAGTAAAAGGGAGATAAGTCATGTGTATTGTTTGGCGTCTATTTACTAGAAATATTTTCAAACTAATTAAAAAATACTAGAATAACAATTTTTATCTATAATCTTCACTTTTTTATTATTTTCTTTTTGTTTGAAATTACGTTTTGCTGTTCATCATAGGTCACTGCAAAACCGTTGTATGAAACCTTTACAATAAATTTAGAATATTACATGATAATTGTAATCATAAGACGGTTTGAGAAAATTAAGGTGTAAACAAATGAAGAATTCAATTTAAAATTTGCATGCATAAAATTTAGCAAAGTTTGTATCAAACGATGCCCATGAAATTACAGGCAGACCATGTCCTAACGATGAAATGAAGTGTGCGGATGGTTCACAATGCATTCCAGCTATCTACGGATGTGATGGATTTGATGATTGTGCAGACGGGTCTGACGAAGGAGAAGCATGTATAGGTATGTATATATAAAAGGCAACGGTGATTAACCGATTTTCAAATCTGTTTTGAATATATACCTTATGAAAACAATTGAAGGAATCTCATGAACTCCAAAAGGAGCGAACCCGAGTACGTCGTCAGGGCATACTGGTATTTATTGCTAGTATAACAAATTCCGGCTTCTTCCGATATTATTCTGATGTTATTATGCCTGCCATTTCTAGTTCCAGTTTAGACGATCGTTTTGAATTTATCAAAACATTATTTTAAGCAGTGGACTTTTCTAGTAAGTTAAGTACATTTGTGAATCAACTTGCACATGACTATGAACGTCTTTGAAAGATTGACCGCCCCTTTAAAAATGTTTAACATGTTTGGTTAGATCACGTTATGAATCTGTGTACTTTGTTTTTAAAGCAACATGCAGTATTTTACGATTATAAAAGAAGACCAGACAGATATGTACTATAAAACATATTTCAAAATTTGTTCTAAAAGTTGCAATTATAAGAAATAAAAACTTGTATTATAGGTTTTTCTTGTAAATCTGTTTTGCAGTTTGTAAATAATTTCTCCCCTACCAAATAAAAGCTACAGAACCACTACTAGTGAAGATGAAGTATAAGATAGATACGAGTAATCGGTATAAAAGTTGCATGTTCCGTACAGACAAACAATGAGTAATTTTATTGTGCAAACTGGTTGTATACAAATACAAATCTTCTGCTTCTATTTCGAACGAAAGTTCATATTACAATTTTTGTTTACGTCATTTAGCATTATTGGGACTCAAAAAAAAAAAAAAGACAACAAAGTGAAAATGATGTACGTATATACATGCTTACCTTGGTTACCAATTTTTGTGGATTAAGGACATGTATATTAAATTTTGTGGTTATGTTAAAGTCTGAATGAAAGGGTATGGATAATTGCACTTCATGTAACATTTAAATTCGTGGTTGACCTATACCCACAAAGTTTTGGATCAAACGAATAATTATGAATCCACAGTATTTGTTTTGGGTATGTGTTGGCGTACATGACGTTTGCCCGGCAACACAGTATTTGTTTTGAGTATGTATTGGCGTACATGACGTTTGCCCGGCAACACAGTATTTGTTTTGGGTATGTGTTGGCGTACATGACGTTTGCCCGGCAACACAGTATTTGTTTTGGGTATGTGTTGTCGTACATGACGTTTGCCCGGCAACACAGTATTTGTATTGGGTATGTGTTGTCGTACATGACGTTTGCCCGGCAACACAGTATTTGTTTTGGGTATGTGTTGGCGTACATGACGTTTGCCCGGCAACACAGTATTTGTTTTGGGTATGTGTTGTCGTACATGACGTTTGCCCGGCAACACTTCCAGAAAAACTGCATTATCGTGTTATTTGACTGTGTGTGCATCGTGTATGAATATGTATTTTGTGCATGTGTTTGTATATATATTTTTGTGTGACAGGTTTTTTTGTTTCAAAGTAAAAATTGTTTGCAAGCGCGAGAGAGAGAGACAGATAAGAGTCGCTGAAGAGGGGATGACTCTACAAATATATAGGATAGTTACACCTTATGATTTTCTTAATAACTTTAACGTGTTATAATACAGAATTTGAATGCGCAGAGGGTTACAGAAAATGTAAAGATCAGATGCAATGTATCAAAGAAATATATTTGTGTGATGCATTCCTGGACTGCAAAGACTCCTCAGATGAAGGAGATAATTGCACAGGTATGTCTGAAGTTATTCAAATACTAGATAAGTGATTGTGACATTTGCAAAATAAGTATTTATTTACTATCTTTTCTGATTGTGTAACGGACTTTTATGCCCCACCTAGGGGCATTGTGTTTTTCGGTCTGTGCGTCCGTTCGTTAGTCCGTTCGTTCGTCCGTCCGTCTGTCCCGCTTCAGGTTAAAGTTGTTGGTTAAAGTTTTTGGTCAAGGTAGTTTTTGATGAAGTTGTGGTCCAATCAACTTGAAACTTAGTACACATGTTCCCTATGGTATGATCTTTCTAATTTTAATGCCAAATTAGAATTTGACCCCAATTTCACGGTCCACTGAACATAGAAAATGATAGTGCGAGTGGGGCATCCGTGTACTATGGACACATTCTTGTTATTTCTAACAGAAATGTTGCATTAGAAACACATGGATGCAACAGGCATCAACAAAAATGCAAAATGTCAGAATATTAACAATCTTCTTGAAGTCGAAAATACATGTAGGTATCTGAAAGTTATTAAAACATATATCAAACAGATTTCATCGAGCACGATATCCGTTTGATTAAAAACTCATTGGGTACGTTAGATACCAAGAGTTTGAAAAGCAACAGCATACATTAGAGTCTTAGAACAACTCATTTTCAGTCAAACGCATCATTTCAGTCATGTCAGTTCCTAAGAGGAAAAGTGTTTCTGATGCATAACGTTTTTTCGTCAGTATATTGATTTCAACAATGTTTGAATTGCTTGTCAAAATTTTGTTTCTTGGACTGATGCAATTAATCTTCACTTGTTTGTTCGAAGTCTTATTTGAAAAATAAACTGTATGTGTATTTTAAAATTAACAGTATACGTTCCAACAATGCATGAAAGTCTCTTAGAAATTATTTCAGACAAATGTACGTCAATCTGGACTGAAATTGGATTGACATTTCTAGCTATCTTGCAGAGTTATAACTTAAATGCACGTATGCTATAAATGTAAAATTTAAAAAAAAAATCATACATTTCCGTGAACACATGCATTCGTGTCAAAACATTTACTAAATTTTATCATCGGTATAAGGACATCATTCGTAAATATAGCTCAACATGCTTTATAAAGCACAAAAATGTCATAATTCACCTCTGAAGCTAACAAAACCTTTAAATAGACTTATTAAGAAGGGATATAGTTACGATACTGTTGTCAGGTCATTAAAGATTGCATATTTTGGCGTTAATATTGATTCACTTATAGGGTCTTTGCATCGGCACTAAACACATTTATTTAAAAACCAGTTGTTGGCATGACACGGGTTATGTTCTTCTCATATATGTTATGATGGTATGATACTAAACCCCTAACGGGAAGGATTGTGCCTGATATTCATAGGATGAAGACATAATCTTTCAATCAGTTTAATTGAAGTCTGGAGCTGGCATGTCAGTTAACTGCTAGTAGTCTGTTGTTATTTATGTATTATTGTCATTTTGTTTATTTTCTTTGGTTACATCTTCTGACATCAGACTCGGACTTCTCTTGAACTGAATTTTAATGTGCGTATTGTTATGCGTTTACTTTTCTACATTGGCTAGAGGTATAGGGGGAGGGTTGAGATCTCATAAACATGTTTAACCCCGCCGCATTTTTGCGCCTGTCCCAAGTCAGGAGCCTCTAGCCTTTGTTAGTCTTGTATTATTTTTAATTTTAGTTTCTTGTGTACAATTTTGAGTTTAGTATGGCGTTCATTATCACTGAACTAGTATATATATTTGTTTAGGGGCCAGCTGAAGGACGCCTCCGGGTGCGGGAATTTCTCGCTGCATTGAAGACCTGTTGGTGACCTTCTGCTGTTGTCTGTTCTATGGTCGGGTTGTTGTCTCTTTGACACATTCCCCATTTCCATTCTCAATTTTATACCAAAATTACTGAGATTTTAAGCGCAATCTATTGATTAAATATACCAGGAACGTGTAGACCAATGTTTGGGTAGCCCAATCTGTAATCAAACAACCAACAGAAAAAAAGAGAAAACAATGGAAAACAAAACATTTTTTTATTGAATAAATTACAACTGATAATTTTTAAACGTAGTATATAGTAAATGATGCCAATGTATATATAGTAAATGGTATCCCATTTGGCGAATTACATGTTTGGAGCAACGAGCAGGCCGACAGTATTATTTAAGATGTTTGAAAGTATTTTCAAAATAAAAGATCTCTTGTACATGTAATGACCAAAAGATAATAATTGCTTTCCATTTTTTTATCCTATAGACTATACCTGCTTGAAGAATTTTAGAAAGTGTGCTGATCAAAAGTTTTGTTACGAAAATAAATACAAATGCGATGGAAAAGAATATTGCCATGACGGATCAGATGAGAAGGCATGCCCGACTACCCCTCCACCACCAGGTAATTACATTTGAAGAACAAATAATTGTGGGAGTTTTCTCTTGTCACAGACGTTGGAAAGTTATTGTTTTTTAAATTGTTAGAATTGACTCTCTTTTTGAAGACAAATTTAATAATAGCAATGGATTAAATATGGGGAACTGTTAGTTGTGTGTTGTATGAAAAGAAGTAAGATTTTATAAAATTAAATACACCAAAAACATTCTCTGGATTTTAATTTTGTATATTTTCTACCGACTACGAGCACTCAGTTAGTACTGTACTAACAAAGTTGTATTTTGTGACTGGGTAGTTCTTTTCTGTGTTTTCTGTCACTTGCTTGATAGCTTCATCGTCCAAGCCTCATCTCTACCATTTAGAGTTCAAACAAAATAATGAAGGGTTTATTCCTGCTATTCCTACATTTGATAATTCGGTATGTAAAATGTAAGAAATCCATGTAGGAATAGGATGAATGCTTTTACAAACATGGGATTAAATAGGATTAGGTTGTAAAAACAAGAAGCTAATTAACTTCAGGTAAATTTAAATGAAATGCCTTTTAGTTTTCAATTCATGTTCAATTTGAGTGTACTAACAGTATAAAATGATGCAAATTATTGAAAGAAATATATATTCTTGTCTATTTTTGTACTGTTGTGTTATGTTTGTTTCCTCTTATATCACTGAGGGACAATAATAAAAAAAAGATCAGCAAAGTTGCATTTATTTATTTCATCATGTTCATGAAAAATAGTAAATAGCCTTGGTACATGCTTCCCTCCTGCTGCATATTGGAGCAGTTTGCACGCATGAATCGCCTCTTCATGCTTCAGCAGCTTGACAAGACTAAATATGTTTGGGTGGGGTGCCTTGACCAATTTCTTTAACTTGTTGTGCCAGCCCTCTAGATGATTTGTAGTTCTTGGGCCATCTGTTGCATAGCGGTTCCAGAGACTTCGATTACTTTCAACCCAGTGGTCAGTGAGGGCAGTCCAGGTCAACACACATCACCTTGACGATCCTCGCTGAACAGGGGGCTACAAACCAAACTGGTCTCATGGTATCTATGGGAATTTCAGATATAATATTGTTTGCTAAGCTCAAAGTAGGTGAAAGAAATATATGATAATTTTATTATTTATTTATCAATGTTTTATTTATTTGACACATATATAGCTTTGGCTTTTTTTTTTTAAATAATTGACACTGGGCCATCGGGAAGCAATATATAATCTCCATCTTCGCGATGGACATTCAGATTCATTCGTTTTTTCTATTTTTATTTATTTCATTTACTGGCTACTATTACCACACATATAATACAATATTCTGTCTGTCTGTCTGTCTGTCATATCAAAGCAATTATCTATATACTTAGCTTATATTTATCACTCAATGACAACATCAATATTTCAACAAATCTGTCGAATTTTACACAAGTACAACTTCACAACACAGTAAGGACTTCACAAAAACTCACAACTCCAGAACTCACATGAAACAATACGAAACACTAAGGGAATTTTTATTTTTCACACAATAAGTGTTAAGTAGGGCGCAAGTTCCATACCAGGAAAGCCGCCTCCCAAAATATCAATGATGATAATAATACTAATAATAATACTTTTGTAGCATTTATTCTAGCATCTACGCCATTTAATTAGAACATAGTCAAAATTAATAAAGTTCACCGGACAATATAATATTCCCTTAAATATATCTTTTAAACTTTAAAATAAAAGTCGTATATGGGGTTTATTATTTTAAAAACATTTTTTTAACAGAAATGCATTCATTTTTGGGAATTTTCTGTTCTATATTCTGTGCAATGCATCTACTTATTTCTATTTATTTTTATCATTGTAACAATCCTTTCCAGATTACCTGTACTTATCTGTATTTTAATCAAATTTAAATTGCTAAAACAACAAAACACCTTATACCAACATCTATTGTTCTTTGTTTGTAGGAATAGAAGGAATATGTATTTATAAAATGTAGGAATAGCAGGAAGACACCTAATGAAGTGAGGTGAACATTCTTAAGATCACATCAATGCCCATTACGAGCAATTTATTTATCAAAGTATATTTTCAGATATTCCAGTAACAAAATGATGTGTACGTGCATAATCATATTTGTCAAGAAAACTAAACTAGTTTAATAAAAATGACATAAGTGATGCATTGCCTACAATAGTTCAAGTTAAACGATAATTATGAACAAACGAAGCTTTAAGAAAAAAAAAATGCCCAAATTTGGTCCATTCATTCTGATACAATTCAGTGTTAAATTTTAAGATCACTCAGTTTCTGTCGATTTTCGAAAGAAAGAAAAAAAAACGCGATTTCGTTAAATAATTGGTTTCAAAACCAGTTGGAATTCAATCCCACTATTTTCATTCTTAGCTAAATTTGGCACATGTTCACGCAGAAGTTATTAAATATATTACCTCACGAGTATGAAGCATAACTTATCCAAGGACATTTAAAAATTTTAAATGTCATCTTAAGTATTGAATTTTTTTGTTTCTGACATATAAATGAGATTATTTCTGTTTATGAAAATAAATTTAATTTACATATCAGTTTACATGGTAATATTATTTAAAAAGCAAGCAAGTTTAATTATAATGAACCTTTTTTTTTGTTTTTGAAATTTAATATGTATTGAGGTACCGCCATCTATGATAGTCGCCATATAACAAAAAGTCTCCATCCGTACATGCATCTTTGAATCACGTCCGACAAATCATATCTCCATACATTGATTTCATTATCTCTATGAAAGGTCACTGGTAATTTTCATTAGATGAAAGGAGTTTATCACGATCATATTTTGAAGCATTTTTGAATGCTGCACATGATGGCTATACTAATAGTAGTTTTGTACAGTTCGGCAAAATACTTAACCTTAAACTTAGTCTACTTAAATGAAATAAAAATGTCAATGTGAACATGTTAGGGTGCTGTTTTCACAAAAAGTTAATTTGTACATCTGCCTAATTATAAGAACAAATATTTCTATAATTAAACGCGTTAAAACTTAATTTGTTACTGCATTGCATCAGGTCTTCCATCAAGTGCATTGTAGTATTAACTTTCTCTTTTTTTCAGAGAGAAGATCTGCAAGACCAAACTACAGGCGAGAACAGAAATTGTTTTCAAAACACAAGACATTACCAATCGCCAAAACCAAACCTGTCTTTAGGAAATCGGCTGAGAGTGAGAGGTATTCAAACGACGATTTACTTGACAAGTTAGCAGAACTTATTTCTAGGACGAACTGAAAAATTAGTTTATTTCCTTCATTTCAAACCTTATAGAATTCTTTATAATTTTTATATCCTTTTAGCTTACAAAAATCAACTCTTTCTCTTATCGATTTAACATAATCTATGTAACTATTACTTTCATTATTGTAAGCTGTAGTACTTTAATATTGTATTTTTACATGTGGATATTGCGTGTTTATTTCCTGCAAGTTATGAGTTTAAGCATAATCATATAAATGTAACCATAGTGTAATTGTTGTAGACCTTTCTTTTTTTATTGAATGTTAATATTTCGATATTACGAACTTATTTCTCATAAGCTAGGCGCTTCAACATCATTTACTAAGTACGTAACAACATTTGGAATAATTTTATTCATTTTTTCATACACTTCTCTAGATTTGTAGTGTGCATGTGCTTTGAGTATAAAATAATCAGAATATATAAAAATAAAAAATCATCTGAATGTATAAAAATATATCTTTTCATATTGAAATCCCCATTTTCTAGTTTCTATTCATGTATTTAATAAAACATGTAGCCCCGGATTTGTACATCCAACCGTCTCCAGTTCATGCTTATTCTCTATTACAAAGATTTTTGTTGTCTTATCGAGAGAATTGCTTTTAAAAGTATCAGAAATATATACATGCTTATTATTAGATGATACTGCTAATTGATGTTGCAAAGAACTTAGTTTACCCCTTGATAAATTGACCGCAATTAATTGTTTGTATTCTTCATCTTTAGAAAAAAAGATACGGAAGTGAGCCTGTTCGTTTGTGGTGTTGACTGAAGGTTTCAATAAAATGTACGTGATGCACGCATAGCAGGAGACGCTCGCCCTGTCAACTCTGTCTGGCTACTTTTGAATGTGATTCGCTCAGTTTTTGTTTGCTTCCTTGATTTGTCATCTTAATCGATTTATACGATTTGAAAATCAGTAAACCACAGTACTGTTGCCTATATTTATATATACCTAAATATAGCCGAATATATATAGCGCTCACAATATAAAAACTAGAGGCTCTCAAGAGCCTGTGTCGCTCACCTGATTCTACTTTGGTTTTGGAAATCATGTAAAAATAGATTAAAATCATAACAGATACCCTAATAATGAGTGAGGCCAAATTTGGTTTAATATTGGTCCTGTAATTTAATAAAAAATCCTGGTGGCCATCTTGAACAGTAAATCGTCAACAAAGTAGCAACACTTAATCAGCACCTCATAAGAAACATTTATGCCATGTTTTGGTTTCATTCCATTCAGTGCACCTCTAGAAGAAGCATTTGTATGTATTTCCCATAGGTTCTTATGTTAAAGGAAGTCCCCCCATTGGCGGCCATCATGGATGAAGGATCAGCTTCAAAGTAACAAAACTTAGTCAGCACCTCATAAGGAACATTCATGCCATGTTTGGTTTCAATCCATTCAGTATGTGGTTCTCTAAAAGAAGACATTTGTATGTATTGTCCATAGGGTCCTTTGTTAAACATTGTCCCCATCTGGCAGCCATCATGGATGAAGGATCAGCTTCAAAGTAACAACACTTGGTCGGCACCTCAAAAGAAACATGCATGCCATGTTTGGTTTCATTCCATTCAATGGTTCTCTAAAAGAAAACATTTGTACGTATTTCTCATAAGGTCCTATGTTAAACTAAGTCCTCCGCTGGCGGCCATCTTAGATTATGGATCGGCTTCATAGTTTCAACACTTGGTCAGCACCTCATAAGGAACATTCATGCCATGTTTGGTTTCATTGCATTCAGTGGTTCTCTAAAAGAAGACATTTGTATGTATTTCCCATAGGGTCCTATGTTAAACTAAGTCCCCCGCTGGCTGCCATCTTGGATGATGGATCAGCTTCAAAGTAACAACATTTGGTCAACACCTCATAAGGAACATTCTTGCCATGTTTGGTTTCATTCCATTCAGTGGTTCTCTAAAAGAAGACGTTTGTATGTATTTCCCATAGGGTCCCATGTTAAACAAAGTCCCCCGCTGGCGGCCATCTTGGATTATGGATCAGCTTCAAAGTAACAACACTCGGTCAGCACCTCATAAGGAACATTCATGCCATGTTTGGTTTCATTCCATTAAGGGGTTCTCTAAAAGAAGACATTTGTATGTATTTCTCATAGGGTCCCATGTTAAACTAAGTCCCCCGCTGGCAGCCATCTTGGATTATGGATCAACTTCAAAGTAACAACACTCGGTCAGCACCTCATAAGAAACATTCATGCCATGTTTGGTTTCATTCCATTCAGTGGTTCTCTAAAAGAAGACATTTGTATGTATTTCCCATAGGGTCCAATGTTAAACTAAGTCCCCTGCTGGCGGCCATCTTGGATTATGGATCAGCTTCATAGTAACAACACTTGGTCAGCACCTCATAAGGAAAATTCATGCCATGTTTGGTTTTATTCCATTCAGTGGATCTCTTAAAGAAGACATTTGTATGTATTTCCATAGGGTCCCATGTTAAACTAAGTCCCCCGCTGGCGGCCATCTTGGATTATGGATCAGCTTCAAAGTAACAACACTTGGTCAGCACCTGATAAGGAACATTCATACCATGTTTGGTTTCATTCCATTCAGTGGTTCTCTAAAAGAAAACATTTGTATGTATTTCCCATAGGGTCCTATGTTAAACTAAGTCCCCCGCTGGCGGCCATCTTGGATTATGGATCGGCTTCAAAGTAACAACACTTGGTCAGCACCTCATAAGAAACATTCATGCCATGTTTGGTTTCATTCCATTCAGTGGTTCTCTAAAAGAAAACATTTGTATGTATTTCCCATAGGGTCCTATGTTAAACTAAGTCCCCCGCTGGCGGCCATCTTGGATTATGGATCGGCTTCAAAGTAACAACACTCGGTCAGCACCTCATAAGGAACATTCATACCATGTTTGGTTTCATTCCATTCAGTGGTTCTCTAAAAGAAAACATTTGTATGTACTAGTATTTCCCATAGGGTCCTATGTTAAACTAAGTCCCCCCGCTGGCGGCCATCTTGGATTATGGATCGGCTTCAAAGTAACAACACTCGGTCAGCACCTCATAAGAAACATTCATGCCATGTTTGGTTTCATTCCATTCAGTGGTTCTCTAAAAGAAGACATTTGTATGTATTTCCCATAGGGTCCTATGTTAAACTAAGTCCCCCGCTGGCGGCCATCTTGGATTATGGATCGGCTTCAAAGTATAACACTCGGTCAGCACCTCATAAGAAACATTCATGCCATGTTTGGTTTCATTCCATTCAGTGGTTCTCTAAAAGAAGACATTTGTATGTATTTCCCATAGGGTCCTATGTTAAACTAAGTCCCCCGCTGGCGGCCATCTTGGATGATGGATCCGCTTCAAAGTAACAACACTTGGTCAGCACCTCATAAGAAACATTCATGCCATGTTTGGTTTCATTCCATTCAGTGGTTCTCTAGAAGAAGTTCAAAATGTAAAAAGTTTACGCCGACGACGGACGACGGACGCCAAGTGATGAGAAAAGCTCACTTGGCCCTTCGGGCCAGGTGAGCTAATAAGAAGATGTGGTGTGATTGCCAACAGGTTTAATCCCGCCACAATCTGTATGTGCCTTATTCGTTTATTTCAACGCAGTGACCTTTACTTCCTTATATCCACGTTATTTGAAATCTGGTGGAAAGCTGTAAATGAATACTTCAAATTGTTTTGACATAAACGAATAGCTGGTTGCTCCCATTCTGTTCATATACAGCAGAACGAATGTTGGTTTTATTAATTTTTGTTTTGTCTATCCATCTATCTTCTCGTCAATAAAAGGTTTGTCAACGCAAAACAAAATACTTTTAATAAGCTTGATTTTTTTTAGCGAATTGGGAAAAGCTAGATGAGCTTTTCTCATCATTTGGCGTCGGACTTCTGTCGTAAGTCGTCGGTTAACTTTTACATAATTATTCTCCTCTGATACTACTGGACCAGACTTCATCCTTGGATTTTCCTGTTTACATATTTGTTCAATGGTAACGCCTGGCAACCAACACGGTCACCAATGCTAAAAACAGAACATAGGAATATGAGAGAATTGTCTATTATCTTGTAAACTGTGATAGGTAGTGGATTTGGGTTTTTGACAAAAACTGTCAGATGCCTCCTGATAGTTCATGTCATTTATTGACAATTTTTACCATTTTTGCGATTTAGGCTATTTATCATGAAAACTGTCAAAGTTAGATAGAACCTGTACATAGGGAAAAAACAAGGTCTACAGAAAAGTAAACGTGGTCGAAATCGTCAGTCGGCTCCATATATGAGTTTGCCCTTGAATGATGCGGTTTACAAATATATTTTTGTTGTAAGAAAAATTGTGACAGCAATGTCAGTTTTAAGTATTTTTACAAATATTGTGTCATAACTGGAGTATGCTTGGACAGATTTATTGGAAACTTTAAACAATTGTTGGAATTGGTGATAGTAAGATACCTTTTGATCTATGTCGTTCAGAGTTAAGGGATTTTAAATTGGATTAAATTCAACTCTTCAACTTCGTACTTTATTTGGCCTTTTTAACTTTTTTTTATTCCAGCATCACTGATGAGTCTTTTGTAGACTAAACGCGCGTTTGGCGCAAATACAAAATTTCTCAATCCTGGTATATATGATTAGTTTATTTACTACAACCTCTACACTGTTGTTGGCCTTAATGAATGAATGCTTGTTATTTTTTGGAATGTTTTTGATTTGTCGTTCCAGAGTTAATGTACTTTTCATAACAGTTACATTTGAGGCAATATTGATACAACGCGAGATATCCTCATTAGATCTGATCAGTTGCCTTCTAAATATTCCATTCTGGCAACAATTTCAATACTCACAAGACAAGCGTTACATTCGATCCTGGCGCAGCTGCTTATTGTGTTTGTTTGCGAAAACAACAGAAGATAGAGAAGAAATATAAAAAGAAAAAATATCCGCTGGACAATGTCTACTAATAAGTCATCATTTTAATATTCACAAGCCATACTGCTATTTTAGTCCGGGATATATGATTTATTTATTAGTTGAAATTGGCTTTGAACTAGCTTTCAGTGACCAGGGGTTCTCTTATATCGGTACTTTGTGTCTTTTGTCTTTTTGTTAATTGCTTTTTTGTGCGATGTGTCCATCCGAAGTGTTAAGCCAATTTCAACTGGTTCTTACAGTTTGTTTTTATATTGTATAGTATGTAACATCACTGTACCAGGTTAGAGGAGGGTTAAGCGATCGCAAACATGTTTTACTTTAATTACCCTCATCTGGTGGGCTTTATGTCGATCTGACTTTTTCATTTGATTTTTATAGTTTTTTCTTGTGGTGTGCTGTTACATCGGCAACCTAGGTTAAAGGAGGATTGGACACCCACAAACCATGTTTCAATCCGCCCCATTATGTATGTGCCTGTCCTAAATCTGGAACCTGTAATTCAGTGGTTGTATTTTGTTGCTGTTTATAAT